GCGATTAGTAAGGTAAGATTTAATTAATAGAAAGAACATCGGGGGTAAAATATTGCGAAGTTTGAACAGAAGGCCCTCGTGCCATACTCGGTCGAAGGCCTGGGATATGTCTAAGAAGACAGCAGTGCAATAACATTTTTTTTCGAGAGATGTGCTTATAGCATCAACCACTCTATGGACTTGGTGTATCGTGTTATGTTTAGCTCTAAAGCCAAATTGTGCAAGAGGAAGTATATTGTTTTCAAGTATATGGGGAGATAGTCGTTTAAGAATTAGCCTTTCACAGATTTTTGAAAGGTATGGTAAGAGACTGATGGGTCTATACGAGTTCGGGATATCTGGAGGTTTTTCTGGCTTGGCAAACATGACTATTTGCGAAAATTTCCAGATTAGTGGAAAATATGAGAGTCTTATGATTGCGTTATATATGTAGGTTAGAAGCACTACAGCCTTTTTTGGCAACCATTTAGCGACTTCCGCTGTTATCAAATCGAAGCCTGGAGATTTCTTACGAGAACACTTAATTATCATGTTTTTTACTTCATTGGGTGTGAAGTATTTTACATGATGAGCGGGTGGTAGTGGAGAGTTTAGATATCTTTCAACATTTTCTAGGTATTGTGGAATAAGGATATCATTATGAGGTTGGAAGGTATCATATAGATGAGATTGAAATACAGTTGCTTTTTCGTTATCTGTGATAGCTAAAGTATTGTCTGCATTTTTTAGTGGGCACGATGGAGTTTTGTATTTTAGCATTCGCTTGGTTTCTTTTCAGAGACTACCATCTGTACTAGATAATGATTGTAATTTTTGGTCGAGTTCATTTGTTTTATGTTTGGCTAGAACCTTTTTTAATGAATTGGCCAATTTATTATATGCTGATTTGTGGGATGGGAGCCGGGATTATTGGTATCTAGCTCTGGCTCTGCGTTTTTCAACTATAAGGCTCCGAATTTGTTCGGGAATAATTTGGAAATTAGAATAAGTGTTAGGTGGTTTGTCTAGTTTGGTAGCTGCCCAAGCAGCTGACTGTATGAGAGTGGTTAGATTATTTACTGCTTCGTCTATATCCAGATTAGATTTTAGTTTGACTTTGAGATTTACTTGTTCGTTTATTATATTTTGAAATTGTTCGCGTCACGCGAAGTATTTTCTTAAATTATTCAATGTGTTTTTTCTTAAATAAAATTAACTATTCTATAATATTTCTTAATGGTATATATTATGTAAAACTGACATCACACTGGGCAGTCGGCCAACTAGTTGTGTGCATAATATGATGAGATCCGGAATACAGTCGGTCGGCACTATCGTGAGTCGTTCGTCACGAATAAAATGTTGCACCAAGCACATTTGACGTTGGGAGACGTACGACTGTATCGGCCGGATCTATATAATATTATGTACGGCGCGGGTCAGATCGGTTCGGTCACAAGGGACACCGGTTGCAATAATGTACAGTTACATAATTGCTCAAACGAATCTTATTGATGACCCGCGTATTCGTCAAAAAATTAATAAATAAGCACGCGACGACAGAACGCTGTGGGCGTGGCTTCGAGAGCAGCAGCGGCCAACCAGCGTTATCGCCGCCATTTAACCACGCCCAATCACCAACCACAGACATTTCATGGGCGGTTCCTGCAACGACGCGGAGTGCGAGACCAGGGTATAAATGCCAGTGCGGAGCAAGAAACGGGCAGTCTGTTCAACGGAGCCTCCGAAGTAAGACCTACAAAGGCAGACTTACTCAGAGACTACAAGCAACATAAAAAAATTATAATAATTTATTTAATTCGCAAATAAAACCAATTACACAAATTACAGTCCACTCTTATTTATTTCCTCGCCGGAATAGAAATTGTAAGCGGTTTGTTTGAGGAGAAAATAATCTAGGTGCTTCAGTACGAGTTAATGGGGTTCCGGAAATATTGAGTAGTACTGAGGAATGATCTGAGTTTAGATCTAATATATTATTAACAGAACCGTATAAACTGCTGGGTATTTTTGCAACAAAGATATCCAGAATATCTGGTTTTTTTCTAAGGGATGAAGGGCAGTAAGTGGGTTTTGGTGGAGAAAGTATATTAAAATTATTTATGTTGATAAAATTATGCAAAACGACGCCACGAGTGTTGTTTGCGCGACAGCCCCAAGCATGATGCTTGGCATTAAAGTCCCCTCCTACAATAAAATTATTTTTAACTATGTTAAAAAAGTCAGTAAAGATGATATTAGTAATATTATATCGGGGAGGAGAGTAGAAAGCTCCTATGGTAATTGGAATACTATTTAGTTTAAACAAAATCATACAAGATTGTATATGATCATGACAATAGTTGGGGAGTGGTTGAAAAAGAATAGTGGATTGGTAGAAGATTGCTACACCACCATGTGCTGTGTTGTCTGGATGGTTAAACTTTCAGTAAAATGTACCCAGGTATGTAGAAATTTGAATATTTGGTACAATGCGTTTCGGTATTGAGCGCAATGTCTATACGTCTATGATATAATACATTTTGTAACTCGCTAATATGGTTTTTGAGGCCGTTTGCATTAAATTGTAAAATTACAAGTGATTTGTTAGTGGCTAAGCTATTCATTTTTTTTATCTAATAAACTGGAAATAACTTTAGTAAGTAATGTAATTAATGGGTTAATTAGGAGTTTAAATTAATGTAGGAAGCTTGACATTTGTGTATTAGGAATTAGGATTTATAGTTATTGGAGGAGTATTTTGGGGGGGAGGTTGATTCTGAGTGGCTTGAGCATACGTTTGAAAATGAGTTGGATGATTGGGTGAAGTGTCAGTTGGTGGGTGGCTGTCTTTTACATTATTTGGCTTAAACTTAAGATTATGTAGGTTAAGATTATTTGTATTTGGTTTCTTACGAAGCTGGAGCTCTTTGTATGTTGAACAGCCCTTATAGTTAGCCAGACGGTTGCCGGAACAGAGTGCACATCTCATAGGATCTTGGCGTGAATTCGGGCAGGCAGATGAGTGATGATTGTTTCCGCTGCGGACACAACGAGGCATATATCCGCAATATGCTTTGGTGTGACCATAAGCTTGGCAGTTTTGACATTGGCTTATGATCTTTGGCTTGTGAGGCTCTTCGATTTTAATTTTTGTATGTAATAAGGAATCCAGTTGGTATATACCTTGTGAGAAGTCTGTGGGTTCTAAGTCGATGAAGAAGAGTGGAAGGGGGTGTTTATTGATACGGTGTAATAATTGGGTAACTTGCCTTACTTCGAATAGTCGTACTTCCAGTTCGCTTTTAATCAGTTCAGTCGGAGTAGAGGGATGTAGATTACGCAAAACTACGCGAGTTGGTTTATCTTCATTTAATTGATAAGTGTGGAACTCGGCTTTTTCTTTCCTTAGAAAATGCACTACAGTTCTATAAGAATCTGGGTTCGATGTTTGAATTTTTAATTTATCCGTAGTAGATTTGCAATAAAAATTATCGACGCCAATCAAGTTGATTAATTCGGTACATAAGCCTGGGAAATCTTCGACCCCTTTAATAAATATTGGAGGAGGTGGCTTGTTTGTGTGATGAACAGAGACTGAAGTGGTTGGCTGTGATTCATCGATGATAATGTATTCATTGGATGTTTCAGCTGCGCTGAGTAATTCAAATCTGTTCGGTGAAGAGAAGAGTTTTTTTTTATGTTGCACATTTGGAGATAATGTGGAATCAGAATTGGAAGAAGAGAGATTTCTTTTCTTTGTTTCGATCGATTTATCATTTGTTGACATTGAACGCTTATCTAGTGATTGTTTATTTTTTTTGTCCTTAGATATTGAGCTCATTATTATCCAATTATTTTTAATCGGCTGTTTAATCAGTTAAATTGTTATTATGATAGGAACGCGAATGTTATCGCAGGTCCAAAGGTCACCGCGAGTAACGGTGCCTTGGATGTGAGATTATTTATATATCAGACACTGTGCTATTTAGCGCACTTAAAGTTAAAATATTATACCGAACTGGGTACTCCCTGAACTCAGGGGTCAGTGAGTTGAGCTGACGGCGCAGGGTTTGAGGTGTTATTCAAAAACCACGTTGAATAGTAGAAAATACGAAGAAAACGGTTCGGATTAGAAGCAACAAATCGAACATAACACGGGACACCATAAAAGCCTGTGCGTACAGTACGACTGTCCGCGCGTGACTAAACCGAATATTAAATAACTAATTAAACAAAGTTTGTGTCATATAGAGTTGATACATTTAACGGGAACGAAGTTCACGGGATCAGCTGGTTGAATATAATATTATCAATAATCTCCTTCATTCCTAAATTCCATCCCTTTGAATGTTCCTACTTACAATCTCTTACTCAGCTTCTGTTTTTTTTTTTTTTTATATAGGTACCGTCATACTGCAAAAATTATCTCACTAACTCTCCACTTCCAAGAGCTTTGTCTCTTTACAGAACTAGAACACCAACATCGACTTTTTGTTCCCACCTCTATTCTGAATTTTAAATTTGCATTTTGCTATCTAAACCAACCAGGTTATTTATGTTGTTAAATATTATTATATAATTGTATGTTTATTTTGTTTTTATATTCTTACACTATATTTATTTGTTTTAATGTACTTATGTAGTCATATCTATTATATAACTAACCAGTGACACTGGTATTTAGCCAGTTTTTGTTCATATAATATAATATATTATATATTATTATTATCTATTTGAATAAAATCTCTATCTTTATATAATATATAATTCTACTGTACGTGTATATGTCACTGAACTTCTCCTAAACGGCTGGACCGATTTGAATGAAATTTGTTGTGTGTACTTGAGTGGATCCTTGAATGTTTTAGATCAGTGGTTTTCAACCTTTTTAACAATGTAGCACACTTCGTCTCCTACAAAATTTTCGTGGCACACCAATCTATATATTATATTTATATTTATATATATATATAGGAATACTGTTTACAATCTACTCTATTAGGGCTGAAAATCTTCAGATGGCTAAAGCTATTGACAGTTTTATGGCCATGGATTTTGAAAAAAGTCAATATTTTATCCAGCATTATAAGGTGCATATTAAATAAGTTATTTAGTACCTAACAATACCAATAGAAAAATTCTATAATATTCTATAATTTCAGGATATAATAAATTCAAACACGGAATGCTTGAAAGCAGAAATGCTTGTAGGAAAAAACTGCTTAAAAAACAGTACAGATGGCATAAAAAAAATAGTAAATCAAGAAGTATTTCCTAACTTGTATAAGTTAATGCAGGTTGCATTAACGATCCCGGTCAGTTCTGCAACATGTGAGCGAAGTTTTTCCTTCATGAGGCGGTTAAAAAATTGGATGAGAACCAGCATGGTACAACAGCGTTTTACCAACTTAAGCGTAATTAATATTGAGAGAGATCTTGCAAACAAAATTGTTCCCGAAGAAATACTAAACACATTTGCTAAGATTGACAGAAGATTATGTTTAACACTTTAATACTTTAAAAACATAAAATACAATAAATAAAAATAAAATGTGTTAAAAATTTTAAATTTTTTAGTATTTGAATATACCTAATAATAATAGTCAAAATAAAATATTTTAAAGGTGTAATGGGGGGTGTGGGGGGCAGAGCCCCCCACGGCTATATAACGGTTTACCTTTTGTAGCACCCCCAAGATTTGGACTCTAGTTGCGCCACTGATTAGGGGGTAATTATTGTGAAATATATTAATTATTAAAGTGTTAGCAGAAATATTTATTTTAAATTATAATTTATAATGTTGGACAATGAAATACAAATATATCAATTAATGAGAAATTGGTGATTGAAGTTTTATGCACAAACGTTTATTCGAGGACGAACTGTCAACAAGCTTACTCTCAGTTCTTCTTCTACTTATTGAAGTCGTTCTCTATTTTTACTTTTTCTTGTTGTGACTGCTAAGAATCCTTGCTCGCATAGATACGATGTGGAGATTGGTGGTGAAATTGCTATTGCTTTTATAGATATTTCAGGAAATTCTGTTTAAGCATAAATCCAAAATTTGTTTACGGTCATTTTTCGATCTTTAGTTCGTGGGAACATAGTCAATTTTTTTGGTCAACTTCAGTTTTCCACGGGGTTAATTTTTCATTAAAAGCCATTATTTTGTCAGTGTTGTTAGGATATTTTCGTTACGACCTTGCATACTTGTATTTAGTTTATTCAAAAGTTCAAAAATAGAATTTAAAAATACACTTTTGTTAGCCACTTTTCATCTCCAAGAAACTCGTGTTTCGTATTTTCTTCTATTGTTAAAAATGCAATTATTTCTTCACTCAAATCATAAAAACGTGATAATGATAATATCGATAATAGTACTGGTAAATACAAAATTATAAAACTATTAATAGATGTATCACGGCAAACTTTAAGGGCACTTGCATCAGCAGCACCCCGGTTGAAAACCAGTGGTTTAGATTCACAATTGGACCCAGTTAGCCCAACCCGGGGAGGTGCTCGAACAGGGATTTTGAGATTTACGATAGAAATTTTTGTTTATTAATGGTTGCCATGGGTTATAGGATTTGATTATTATTATTATTATTTAATTATTATAATCAATATTTATTTATTATTATAAATAATTTGAATATTTTCTATTTGTTTGTGTTGTGGAGGCGCAGCCGTCACATGATTTTCCCCAGGACGACGCGAGCACTGTTAGGCGTTGGTCACCCCCCTCAGAATCGACGAACAACTTCACGCGAGCGCTACCGAACCGCTCCCCCCTAAACTAATGCACAACAACCTCGTGACCAACGTTATCCGCTCGTCGTAAATAACGGTAACTGTGTTAATTAATAAAATATTCTGTCGTACGCTTATAATCATTCTAATAAACATTAAAAACGTAACTAACAAGCTGTTGTTCATTTAAGAACAAGTAGTTCATAGTAGAACAAATGCAGTTGCAAGCATGAGAAATAGAAGAGCACAAAGAACAGACGAACAAAGCCAATTCTATAATACGTATGTTCGTGTGAGTATGTCGCAATTGCGTAAATCTCAATCAAAAGATACACGAGCTGAACGCAATGAACAATGATAAGTGGAGCAAAGACAAGCGCGTCGATTCGTAGTTGACACACGCAAAGCAAATGACCGAAAACGCCAACAAGTACATCGAGCATTTACATCCAATTCATTCCTCCATCTAGCATTTGAATATGTGCTCGATGTTGAATATTATGATAATTCGAAAGTAGAGATTGGTGCTATGACCTATCGACAAGGAATATTCGCATTAAATGAGCCAGCCGGTATGTGTTTGGCGTCATTAAAAGTTCAACTACCGGAAATTGAAACACCACCTGAACCATTGAACGGTTTACTTATCGGTAATTCAGATTATAACCTGTTCCTGAGCTAAACTCGAACATTCAATTCATGTTTCCAAATAATATCGTTTGGAGCAACAGAAATAGTTAAAAATAATTCTTCAAATAATCAAAAATTTAATTCAACGTTCAAAATCAAAGGTAAAGTTTTTCACAAAGTGAGCTCATTGATACCAATGCGAAACGAACCACATACATTTTTACTTTATGGGCGGTGAGTACTCCGAAAGCGCACTCACCAATCGCGTGGATACACGTTGTAAATACAATAACCTTAATATATTATATGTTATTGTAATTTATAATAAACATAAATAATAAATGGAAAATTATTTAGTTTCGGTCAAGCCGAATTCAATAACAAACACAGTGACAGGACATTATATATATTAGATATACCATATACATATCTACTTAATATGCTGTCGCACTTTGTCCGCGATCCGAGTATCCGACGTAGTCGGATTGCCTACCAGGGTGGCTGAATTTCACTTACTGCTGCGAGTTACATCCAAAATGATTTGAACAATCACAATTTTTTAAAGGGTTGTCATTTTTTAATGGAAACGAAGTGCTCGTATTATATAAAAATCCTATGTCATGGCATCAGGCGTGAATGGCTGGGCCGATTTGGTAATTCTTTTTTTTGTTGTGTTCGTAATTGTCAGGAAAAGGTTCATATGATAGAACATTTTAAAAAAAGCCACCGGAAAAGTAGGAAATCTTGGTGTCAAAAATACAAAAGTGGCTATAGAAGTAGAGATAATAATAGTAATAATGATAATAATTATAATAGTATTAACAGTGGTTATAGTAAATAATTATTATATTCACAAAACTTACTGAAACATAATTTATCAGAAACCGTTATCCATTTTCCATTTGCTTGACAAAATCTAAAACTATTAGGATAAGCCTTATGAAATCCAAGTTCACAGTTCTCAATAACGATAAGATGATGATTAATTATTGTCCCATGAGATAAAATTTCATTAGAACCTTCATAAGAATATAAAACTCCTTCGACAGTTGGTAAAACGCATGAATTCATTGTGACCCGACCTACCTAAATGTTAAAAATATATATTATTTCTAAAATATCTTAGTTTTGAACCAAAAGTAGTTATTAAAAATAAACCAAGTCAATTTACGTATTTGTTGAATAGTCTACGAATCCATTGAATGTGATGATTTACTTCTGTAAAAGCAGCAATTGAATTATTTGTTGTTGGATCCTTAATACTGACTATTCCGGTCAAATAATAAGAATTCGAGTGAGAAAATGTTAAGCCTGCACCGCTGTCTCCCTTACCCACTGTTTGTCCTGAAATTAAAAATATATTATAAATAGTACAATACAAGTTTACCTTATTAATTAAAAATAATGTACAAGTACTATATTACAAGGATATGGCAGTGGAATTCGTGATGAAAGTAACTGTTAGCCTATAGTTCAATGAACTTAAAACTATGATTATTGTAAAAAATTGTATACTAATAACTAAGGCATCATCAGCCATTTTGTTCTGTCCTATACTATTCGGTAAATATATTTCGGGAATATATTTGGCTGGTCGGCCAATTGTTTTCACCTCCTCACCCAATTACCAACAATAAGTGTGTGCAATATAAATATTTTACATTATTAATTACAGATAATATACAATCACCTCATTATAGGTATAGTGTATACCTATGTGATATTGATATAGAACAACAATTCACACTAGGATTTTGGAAAGGGGCAAATATTATTTTTGAAAATTACTCGTGGGCCACATGCAGTAAATTTTAATGTGCGCATAATATTGACCGAAGTCATATTATTTTTCCCCGGAACACGGGTTTAAAGATTCCTAGTTCCTAGTTAAATTTTGAATAATAATAATTAAAATTTATAAAATTAAAAAAAAATATTATTTCCATGCAAGCATTTTATTTTATTTACTAAAGTGTAGAATATTGGATTTTAAATCTAAATTCAGTTTTAGTGCGGGCTACACAACATTAATTGTTAAAAGGCCACATGCGGATCGTGGACCGCGTAGTGGGTAGTGGGTACCTACCATTGATATAGAACCTACTATAGCCTACTATGGCTTAAATATAGTATCAGTGGCGTAGCGTGGGTTTCAGCTTATAGAGTATGCGTTGAAATGGTGAGTTAATGAAATCGTGAGGGGCTACTCCCGCCACACCCCCCCATACTGTTTTTAAAATTTTACTTTAAACATACAAAATAGTTACGTATTTATTAATATATATTACATAACCTAGTACATAACAAAATATATACAGTGTGTAAACGGTAATCGAGAACACTCAATATCTTTGAGTAGAGACCTGCTATTTGAATTCCGTTTTTTTGGCAGTTGTTATGACATAAAAATACACATTTTTATGGTCTTTGAATTTTTTTTACTTAATTAGTCACGCGCATGCGCATGTCAACTTTTTTTTTTTTAAATGGCAACCCCCTGCTTTAACCACTACTTATTTTTTGCCTATTTTTTTAATGAATTTTGGTAGTTGAATCAACGTTCTAAAACCAAAATTGACCAAGTTACAGCCAATCAAAAAAAGAAAAAATTAGAAAAAAAAATGTGCTCGATTTTCAGCTTTTTGATTGTAACTCTGAAAATAATTATTTTAGGATTGTTAAACATTGACATTTTTGTAACTATTTATTACGGCGATATTCATAAGTTATTTTAACTTCAATTACCTACTGAATAATTTTCTCTTTAATTTGTGTAATAATACATATAACTTATTATAGCAGAAAAAACGTAAATTAGTATGTTGTTTATTTCTTTACATTTAATGGATCTATTAGAACGTATTAATAATTAATAACAAATTCAATTCTTATTTAAGTTACCAATTTATTTAGTTAATAAAAATCTAAAAATAAAAAAAAAAATCTAACGAATAAATTGTTCAAACTGTTCTCCGCCGTGAACAAAACATGATTCAGCGCGAGAAAATTATTCAGTAATTGAAGTTGAAATAACGTATGAATATCACCGTAATAAATAGTTACAAAAATGTCAATGTTTAACAATCCTAAAATAATTATTTTCAGAGTTACAATCAAAAAGCTGAAAATCGAGCACATTTTTTTTTCTAATTTTTATTTTTTTGATTGGCTGTAACTTGGTCAATTTTGGACTTAGAAAGTTGATTCAACTACCAAAATTCATTAAAAAAATAGGCAAAAAATAAGTAGTGGTTAAAGCAGGGGGTTGCTATTTAAAAAAAAAAAGTTGACATGAGCATGCGCGTGACTAATTAAACCAAATAAATCAAATATTATATTAAATAAATAAAAAAAAATCACTTTTTAAAAATTATTTTATTTTAATAATTACATCTCATAAATTTAAATAAAATAATAAACTTACTACCTAAAAAATTACTTATATTACTGTATATTAAATAAATTCTTCTATTTTTTGTATTGAAATTTTCGTTTACTTCATCATGAAACGTAGATTTTTTTGTCAAAACTTACGCACGTCAAAACTTAAAATAATATACTGTCGACGATAGCGTATGCAATACTGAACCCGCATACACGAGTGCCGAATATACGACCGCAAGCGTTCTATGTTTTGTTATTAATATTATTGATAAGAAATAAGAATTATAAATAACTGTCGCTGAATGTGCAATCGCCAACGTGCATACTGCGGACATACTACATAAATACAAAATAAATATGGTAGGTACTTGACTACTAGCTACTAGATATAAGGACTATAGCGAGGCACGGCCGTGGTGTTGCGGATTAATCAATCCTAATGAATAATGATTAATGAGCTTGGAAGAAAATCCACAAAATATTATATTATGAAGTACTAAATAAGTAGAATAAAATTTAAAACATTGTATAAAAATATAGCATCATTAATATATAAAAAAAAATTATTTTTTCAATTAGTGAAGTGTATATGATGTGCATACACAGCATACGCATACTCTACGCCACTGTATACTGTATAGTGGGTTATTGCTATAACACCGCCACTATATAATTTCATCACGTTAAAGACTGACAATGGCAGCGTAAGGGGATAACCTATACTTAAGCTACGGTCTGTCCCCTTATGCTGCCATTGTATTTTGTGTAATAGGCATATGTGCAATAACCTTGTACATTTAAGCAATGCTATTACCTATACGGCTATACACCATGGAAGAGTTGGTTTGAAAAATGTAATGTATAAACATTAAGTGTTGCAATATGCCAATATTGTGAATATTTTCAGTTATGACTGTAACTATATTAATCAATTATGAGAGAATTCATGGTAGGAGCAACATTAATCAAAATCGGGAATGACCAGCAACTATACTCCGCGCACCGAGAGAACGCTACTCGTTGGCGCATCTAACGACGGTGGCTGCGGCGCGCGTTGACGGCGGCCAGCATTCGACAAGGTTTAGTGGTGGGAATGCGCGAAAACGGACGTATTTTGGTCGCCGCCCAGTAGCGTTCTCTCGGTGCGCGGAGTATAGTAGGGGCAGGATACGCAGATGATGTTATAATAATGGCGGAGAGAGAAGAAGACCTTAAGAGAACTACTAGTAAACTGATAGAAGATGGTGAAAAAATGGGATAAATGGTGAATGAGGGTAATACAAAGTACATGATAGTCACGAGACACAATCGTGTAACAAAACTTTTGGGAGTGAATAATTATAATTTTTAAAGTGTAGCAAACTCGAAATATCTATGGGTAAACATCAATGAAAATAATGACAGCCACAAAGAAATAAGACAATTAATACTGGTAGCAGCAAATAAATGCTACTTTGGACTAGTACCCCTTTTCAAATCAACGATGCTATTACGGAGAACAAAATTAATATTGTACATAGTTCTGGTGAGACCAGTTGCACTATACGCCTGTGGCGCATGGGCAACAGCAAATACAGATGAAAATAGGCTTGCTACAATTGGAAGAAATATCCTTAGAAGGATATTTAAGCCAAAAAGAAACGCTTTAAAAGAATTTAAAATGAGGAACAAACCGAGAAGTAGAAGAATTGTATGGCAAAACAAATATAATTGGAGTCTTTAGGAGTAGATAGATAGAGATAGAGATAGATAGAGGCAAGTGGTTGTTGCGGCAATGGGCTTAAATTACCCGTAAAAGCCAATGAAGAAGAAGAAGAAGATGTGCCTTAGATTGTATTAGTTTTTTTTACTTTTCCAGTCACAGTTGCTACTGCCAATATATCATTCTTTAAGCTGAAAATAATTAAAACTTATTTAAGGAACTCATTGGGACAGAACTGACTATCTCATATTATATAAGTTTTAAACATCGAACAACATCGTACTAAAGAGTTATCTTTAGATAAAATTATTACAGACTTTTCAAATATATAGGCAAGTAGGATGAATTTTTAAAGTAAAGATTGTAAAAATAATACTGTTAATAGTTAGGTATTAAATTACATGCATTTCTTTATTTTGTTTTTATTATTAAGCTACCTGAGTGAGTAGTTGTATATTTCTAATGGTACGATTTGTGATCTTTATGTTTTTAGTTTTTTTTACAGAACACGCTGGTGTAAACAAATTTGAGAAACATTCTATGGAATATCATGGTTATAGTATAATTATGGTATAGTGGTTGAAAGCAATTTATTACAGGAGGGTGGTAATATGAAGTACGGACAATTAGTGCAAAACAATTTCTGCTGCCCTGGGGTCTAAGCAAATTAAGTTACGGCACTATTCACGAAAATAAGTCTCTTGTGAAAGCATAGCAAATTTTTAGTTAAATAATGAAGTTGGAAATACAATAATGTAATTGGAAATTTTAAGTAGGAGTGCATGATGTAATTTTCAAATCATTTTGAATAATATAAACAGAGTTATATCCAATTTAATTAGAAATTATTGTAGGGTATTTTACAAATTTTATTAGATAATATTAGATAAGAGAACAAAAGGCAATACGGAATACTACTTCCCCGTGGCCCACATTACAATGCACAATCCGCCACCTATAATGGCAACCAATAAACAAAATAAACAAAATAATAATAATATATAATAATATTTCTACTATTACTATTATAATCTGCTAAAAAAAAAAAAGAAAAAAAAGATCATTGTAAAACCAATATGTTCCCGAAATAATAAGCTATCAACAAAGTATGTGTGATAAACCAACAAAAACTCCTCCATACTTCGTGTAAAAAACGCCAAGTATAAAAAAACGGCTCTACAACTTGTGATATCATTTTATAGGTAGATAAGTCTTTGAACTATAGATCAGGGACCAGAACCGGAACCTAAAATAACCGGTTCTTGAAATGGTTAACCTTAAAAGTGTAGGAACCGTAACTAGAACCAGAACCGGAACCTTTATTTCCAAAAATGAAAAACCGTAACTAATACCGTAATTATAAAAAGATTATTTAGGTTAGGGTAGACTAGTTATTTGGACTAGTCTACTTCAATTAAATTAAAAATATTTATTTTATCAAATCATAATATTTCACAATACTACAAATATGAAATATTACATAATATTTTACAAACTATCTTATTATATGATGGAATAAAATAGCTTAACATAACCCAAAGAAATATTTACAATATTATCTTATATTCCTATAGATTTCGTATTGGCTGATATTTACAGTGGAAACTCGATTATCCCGGGTAATGGTGGGGAGTCACACGGATAAATGAAAACAAAGGTTAATCGAGACTTTTTATAATAATACAATTCATCATCTTCCCGTTTTTAACATAACTTTCTTTTTTGGTTTATTTAGAAGATTATTTGAAAATAAATGATATTTATAGTTCAAAGACTTTGCTACCTATAAAATGATTTCACAACTTTTAGAGCCGTCTTTTTGGATACTTAGAGGTTTTTTTCATACGGAGTATTGCGTTGGGGTTTTGTCCGGAACATAATACACAGAAATACAAAATTACATTATAAGTTAACTTTTTTTTTTGCAAAAATTAATTAAACCTACAGTATTACTATACCCAATGTCTAACAGTAAAATTAATTACTTTTATAGCATTAATATCATACAATTTACTTAGTTATACATATAGGCTAACAGACGGCCTTTGCTCAAAATCAATTTGAGTAAAACACGACTTCATACAATGAAATTCAAATTGAACACATATATTACAATGACTGACATAACACCTAATGTAGGTACAGAATAGTGGTACCTATTTTCCCATATCTTTTTTTCTCAAATAATAAAAAAAATATTATGATTTTTACTTTTGACCCCCAAAGTACCAACTAGGTAGCTCCAATTTGATAGTGAGGCCACCTTTTAAGTTGAAAATAATATCATTTTAACATCAGATAGAAAGAAAATAAAAAAAAAAATTGCTATAAAATCAATACTTTCAACTCTCCACTTAAAATCTAAATTATAAAATGAAATTTATTAGGTTAAAAAAAAGTAAGATTATTTTTTTTTTCAAAGTGTCTACCTTCAACATTTAGTGTTTAAAAAATGTAAGATTAATTGGTTCAACAAATTGATGATTTTATGGTATTAATGTTTAGATATTTTATTACCCAATGCAGAACCAGCACAAAATTTATCAACAGTAATAAAATTTTCAAATCCGTTTGTATACATATCCCGACAAGAACTTCGGTCGATATATGATAATGATTCTTCTAATAAAACCGGACTTGGAATGTTTTCTTCTGTTATTCCCCAACCAACGATCTGTAAAAGTATAAAACAGTGATATTATATATAGTAATAACTTATAATATTAATCACTTTTTAGGTGAGGACTGGAATCTGTATAATTTATTAATTAACTCTGAATGATTGAATATTTTTAATTTTGGAATTCGATTAATTATGAAATAAGAATTACGTTTAGTGGTCTTACAAATTTGTATTTTGAGATTTAGTTTTAGATTCTAAGCAAAGCGATAAATGTATTGATTTTAGAATTATATGTTGTCAAGTTTGGTTATCATCACGTTTTAGGGCTGTGAGAATGTTTGGATTTTCTACTTCTGCATATTTTCTGGTAGAAAAAAATAGTCTAATTGGTACTTTGAGGGACCAAAAGTAAAAAACTCCCAGTACTCTTTTCAAAACTGTCGGCAAAAACAAACAATAAGTTATGGAAAAATGAAAATTATACTCAAAACCTGATTTTTTTTTTGGTTTAACTCTCAAAAACCCATAATACCTACATAAAATGTTCAATTAATGTTTTTATTTTGGATTTTTCAATCATGTTAACCAAAAAGTAAAATACATGGTTTATGTACTGTAATATGACTATATTTATGTAAACTATAGCAGAGAAACTCGCGGTATTTGTTCTTTGCATACAAATGGACGATAGTGATAGATAAGATATACCTGTAATTAAATTACAATTGAACTATTTAAATAATACTAAAAACCGACCTTTCCTCGATCTCCATTGGCTATATTGTATTTACCATTCCAATCGATACAAACAGGTGCAACACCATTACTAAAGGAAACTCTGTCTTTTAACACAATAATAGCTATATCTGCAGCATGATACCCAGAAGGTCCATAATAATCATCATTTAGGTGAATCATTTCCACCTGTACAATTGTTTTAATTTATATTTATAGTATTTTGAAATATTAAATAACTTACATTAATTATTTTAGTAAAATCATTGTCAATAACTTTAAAATCTCTAGTATATTTTCCAACAGCAATTTTGTATAGACCGTCTTTTATTGATATGTTTTTAGATAAAGTACCTTTTTTCCAAAAACTATGAGCCACTAAAAACGTTTTTAATTAATTAGTTCTTTCTTAAATACGTTTTACAACAAATTTACCAGAAACGACTAAATTTGGAGATATTATTGATCCTCCACAAACTAATTCATGATTGCGATTTCGTTCTATTAATTGATATATACCAACATTCCAAGGTGCTGTTCCAATATTTGCTTCATAACCATTGTTAATCAGTATTTGGTTTTTGATATATACTCTACCGCAGTCTAAAATAATATTTGAATATACTTTTACAAGATAATAATAAATAATAATAATAATAATAATAATAATAATACCAATAGAATAGACACCTATTAAAATGTTGACGGTTTAAAAATGTACATCAAACGTGAAAAGATTATGCCTAATCATACCATTATTAATTGTTCTACCTTAATTTATAATACCAACAGAATGATTTGGATACAGACAAATTAGATAAATTACAAATACATAGGTACAGAATGATAATTGTATGCAAAAATTGATAAATTATGCATATATTCAAAGGTTAATTTATTGGAATATTAAAATACTCTCTAGGAACATATTTTATGTAAATATTTAAAGTAGAGATTAGGGCATATGCGAAATAAAATATTGGAAATAACCTACTATTGATTTATTAAGATAAATAACTATCAAAAATAATAATAATTTAATACATTAATACATATTGTATATTACATATTAGTTTATATTTTAATAAGCCCAATTTCAAGGAGAATTATCCTTTGTATACCACGCAATTTAAATATCTCAGAATCTAGGTAGGTACTCATTAGAACTTTTATTTAGATATATCAACATTTTCAAGAAAATCATCCACTAAGAGCATGTTATAATTTGTGAAACAGATTGTACTGTATGACAGTTTATATTGCTACAGGAAACTCATTAAGTAGTACATAAAATATCAGAAATGTGAAAATATGGTACTCAAGTGAAATAAGTTAGGTAATACAATGGTACACAAGGTAGGTACATAAAACAATTTTAAAACCAGAAATTGAATAATTGTACTATTAAAAGGAAAAATGGTGGTGAGTATGCTCAAAATATTATTCTGTATATAAATTATGAAATTATGTGAATATGGTAAGAAATAAAATTACATGGATTGCATCTATATAGTTGTTTATTCCACGTCCCATTGGACTGACAAAGTAATTCAAGCGGATTCTCATCTTGTCCATTTGGTGCAGTATATGTTGGTTTACATGATATTGTTGCTGTTGTATTGGGTATCAATGAATTTGAACAATTAGCATACTCTCCATTATGACTACATTTAATATCCAAACTATCTGATTTTAGAGGTGGGCACATTTCTATAAATGTAAATAAATTATAATCAAACATAACTATTACTATACTTTGGACTTTTTATGTAGGTATCAATAAATAATTAATTATTACAGCATTCGAATTACTATACAAAAACTTACCTAAACACAATATATCTTTGAATGAAAACCATTTTCCTTTTTCAAGACAAACCCTTACACTAATAGGATAAGCCTTGTGATATCCAACTTCACAGTTCTCAATAACAGTACGATGATGACTAATTAAAGTCCCGTGCGATAAAATATCATTAGAACCTTCATAAGAATATACAACTCCTTTGACAGTTGGTAAAACGCATACATTCACTTTACCCTGACCAACCTTAAATGTTAAAAATATATATTCTGTATATTATATCTAATTTCTCAAACAGAAGTTGTTATTACAAAAAAACAAAGTAAATATTACAAAAAACCAAAATTAAAATTTACGCTTTTAAATAATTATATTTACGTACATGTACTTCGAAAAATCCACGAATCCAATGAATATGGTATTTAATGTCTGTAAAAACTGTGATTGAATTATTTGGATCACTGACGCTAACTAAGCCGGTTAAATAATAAGAATTAGAGTGTAAAAATGTTAAGCCAGCTCCGCTACCACTTCTACCTACTCCTTGTCCTGAAACTATATATATTTTATACATAAGACACAAATTAAACATATTCCTTTTATTATGTAGTGGCCGCATGATTGGATATCAAGTGGGGAGTGTAAAATTTTTCATTTATTTAAATGTTAATTTTAAATTCTATATAAAAATAATATTATTTATTATAATATTAATTTATTTTATTTTATTAAACGAATTTCTCCACAGTACGAGTTTTCTTTTTTCTTTGGTTACCATTGAGAATTTGTAATATGGAAATTTCATTGTATTTAATTTAAACTCAATTTGGAAACTATTGGATTTTACTGTAAAATTCCAGTTTTTTTTTTTTTAAATTTTTGTTTCTGATCGAATCAATATAAATATTGATTTAAAATGATGCGTGTTTTTAATTTTATTTCTATTTTTTGTTGAATGTAAATGTAAATCTACTTGATATCACCGGGAGGTATCCATTTCATTTTCCCTGTTGATTTCAAAAGCGCCAGCAATGAAAAAAAATTTTTTACGAATCCTTAACTCAAAATAATTTGATAATTGTCTTGATTTTTCCATACCTATTTTGTCAATTTTTGAACTTTATATGCTTATAAAAAAAACCGTGACTAATAATTTTTAATATTTTTCATCTGCCTTTGAAACAATATACTAGTAGGCAGTAGCCCTCTATTATGATTGTATACTAAAATCCCATCATCCACTCGGTATACAGTCATGTACTATAGATAGATTTTAACATTATAATATAATACCAATATGACATCACTTATGTTACATATAGGGCACAATATGAATAAATATTTCAGTAGGTACCCAGTTTAGAACCAGCACAAAACTTATCAGCAGTCACAAATGTTTCAAATCTATTTCTATACATTTTTTGACAAGTTTCATGGTCAATGTAGGTTAAAGATATTTCAAATAAATCAGGATTTGATATATTTTTTCCCATGTTTCCCCAACTAACCATCTGTAAAAATATAAAATAATTATATAGTTAAAAATTGGAGTATATTCATAATATTGATAATTTATTATTTTTGTGTAGGTAATGCATTCAGTTAGTTTAATAAAGCCCTAGTAAATCCTCATCACTCAAAAATTAATCAAAATAAGCAAAAAATTGAATTGTATGTGTTTAATAAGAATACAAACTATACACTACAACAAATTTACCTTTCCTTCATCTCCATTGACTATATTGTATTCACCATTCCAATCAACACAAACCGGTGAAACACCATTACTAAAAGAAACTCTGTCTTGCAACACAATAATAGCTATATCTTCAGCATGAAACCTAGTTGGTCCATTATAACCTCGTTTCAGGTGGATCATAGACACCTGCAAAGTAATTGTTTTAATTTATATTATATATACCATAACAAATAATTTGTGGACTTTTGTCTTATAATAACATACTTACATTAATTATTTGAGTAAAGTCATTTCCAATAACCGTAAAATTTCTCTCATATTTTCCAACAGAAATTTTGTATAAACCATCGTTTATTGATATTTTCTTAGATAACATACCTTCTTGCCAAAAACAATGAGCCACTAAAATATATTAATTTAATTTTTATTCTTGCTTAAATTCGTTGTACCAAGATATTACCAGAAACGACTAAATTTGGAGAGATTATTGATCCTCCACAAATCAATTCGTAATTGGAATTTTCTTTATTTAATCGATATATTCCAACATTCCAAGGTGCTGTTCCAATATTTGCTATGTATTTTTTGAGTGTAACTTGGTTTTTAATATTAACTCTACCGCAATCTAAAGTTATATTAGATTTAATATTAAAAGTTCCATATTTATTTTATTTTTATTATTTTTATTTTTATTTTTATAGAGAGGTTCTCGATACCTAGTCGCATCATTCGGTGGATAGCGTGGTCACGACCACCATTTGTGTTATTTTGATGAACATAGTAAGGAAAAGATTACCTAGAGGATCTACTAGGAATTCTAAAATTCACCTCTGCAAGAAAATCAAATACTTTAATGGAACCGTTTACAAGTTTATTGAGAAGGATAAGGTTGGCTAAAACTATTATGTCGGAAAGTCTACTAAATTATAAGTGGTGTAAAACGTGGAAATATTGTCGTGTTTAAACAAAACAAAAGATTAAGAAACTTTAGCTGAACTTGATCTAGTTGAAAAGTGTCATAGAATGTTTAAGGATCACGAAGAGTTGAGTCATATTCAACTATCGGTCTCATAAGAGTACACAATAAAGGGTTTTTTGAGAATAAGATAGTTTGAAATTCAAAGAGGTGATGAAACCTAGTGTTTTTAGAAACTTACAGGTAATGTGCAAAAATAGTAATTTAAACTATAAGCTAGGAGGAAACCCAAATATTTCTTAATGGATACTCTTGTTAGAGAATAGTTTCTTAATGAGTGATCAAAAGGGATGGTAGAATAGTGTCTCGTAAAATACAATAAAAGGCATTTTTCATGTTTATTGATAGTAGAGAATTATTCAACCATAAAGATAAAGTGCTGAGTTTGATTTGAAGTACGAAAGAGGTAATCCTTGTGGAAGTTTGTTGGAAAATATTTAAACCCAGCACGCAGTTGAGAGAATGCTAAATAATCCTGCTGATTGTGTGATGCCTTGAAAGCAGCATGTGCTCCGTTTTTAGTGAACACCTAAGTTTTTAGCTACCTCGTGAACCAGGGAGGAAACTTAGGAGGAGTAAAAAGAATTTCAGGAGCAACATTAAGAGGACGCTACCCATACATTTGTTGTCTTCGTCTTACACACGCACGACATAGCAAATTGTCGTTCACTAGTTTCAATAGTATGCAGTTAGTTTTGATACTAGGGTAAATTGACCTATTATAACATATTTAGATAATAACATTATCTGTGCTTAAGCGTTTATTCGATATTTTAATTTTCAAGCGAGATATGAGCATTTTAAATTTTTTATATTTCACGTACACATATCTTACTTGAAAATGAAAATATTTAAAAATCGCCAACGCTTAAGCACAGATAATATTCTTACCTAATAGTATGGTAATAGGTAAATTCACTCTAATATTAAAACTAACAACACACTATTCAAACTAGCGAATGGAAATTTGGTATATCGTGCGTGTATAAGACGGATACAACAAATACATGGGTAGCGTCCTCTTAAGAAGGAATACTGCAAGCCACAAGGTGACAAATAGGCAGCAAGTGGCTGAATTAACATTTAGGTTCTGTAACATTAGGGATAATTGAAGGAATTTAGGAAAGAAATTTTTTTGGAATAGTCAGCCCTACGAGCTTTAATTTAGATTAATATGAAAAACTCAGCCACCTTTAGTTATTATACAAACATATAAATTATAGTAAATGTCATATAGCAATTATTTTGTACTCATTGGCATATTTGGTGCATATCCGTATAGAGCACACAACTCTTTGTTCTCGTCTGAACCATCTGAACAATCCTTATGACCATCACAAACCCACGACGATTTGATACACAGTCCATTTGAACAATAAAACTTATCTTCGTCGTTTCTATAATTTTATTAAATTATGCAGTAAATGATTATTTAATATGAAAACTAATCAAAAAAAAAAAAAAGGTCCAATCAAAATATTCAACAGTACAGTAGATAATTATGCCAAATCCAACTGTTACTATACTTATGTGCCGTCAGCGAAAAGTTATATAGTTAAAAATGACAAAAATCGCTTGAAAAACGATTGTCTGACACATTTTTATTTTAAGGCGGCTCTTAGTGGCTATTATTTAAGGGGAACAATTTAGGCAATTTCTAATCTTGTCGTCGCCGCCCGTAATCTATGTGTTAGTCGTAAATGATTATTAGTGTGAAATTCGAAGAAATTCGAACTCGATAACAATAGATTTTATATCGCCCGGCTGCGGGCACACGGTTCAATAGCACACGTACGCGCATGCACAAGTCAACGTAATCACTCTCGAAAAATATTTTTGTACACTCACAATAGTGAAAAATGCTAATAAGCTGGCGAAAAATACACATACTTCTAGTAGTCCAATTTCAATTTTGAAAAATTATTTGAATTCGTCAGCCTCTTTTCTATGATTTGTAGGAAACCGATTTTGGATATTTTAGATAATTTACGTATATTACGGTTCCAAATGACTGCTTGATTTCTCAAATTTAACTTGCACTTTTAAGTGCTAACTAGACAAAAAAATGAAAAAGTTTTTCCTACAGATCATAGAAAAGAGGCTAACGAATCCAAATAAGTATTCAAAATTAAAATTTGACTACTAGAAGTATGTGTATTTTTCGCCAGCTTATTGGTCTAAATGCATGAAAAATCATCCAATCGTTTAGAGCCGCCTTAACTAAATTAGAGACTGTGAATGTCAGTGAACAAAATATTTTAATAATAAGTTAAGGTATTCGTAAGTTTTAAATTAATATATAATTTAAGACGATAATATAAAATAGATTCAAGATAATAATAACAAATTAGATTTCCAAGCATATCAATAAATTGTATATGACAAGTCGGAATCCGATCTGATATGTGTAGTTAAAATAAAAAAATTGAAAAAAATGAGAGTATAGATAAAGTTGATTTGTAAATAAAAAAGAGGTTTTGATCTTCCTGATCATAATATTGTGTAGTTAGTACTAGCTTCGTAGTAAAATTACATTATATTAAATTTAGATCATAATATATTGATAGATGGTGCCTATTAATTGGGCCACATTTTATCTACCCACATTATATATAATATATATGCTTACATTTTATTACCCGGGTATTAGACGAGGTATGAAAAATATATTTTTATTTATATTTAAAGGGTTACCTGGAGATTTTATTACATAATATATATATCACAAATATATAAATACACAAATATAACCACTATCAATTACAGACTAAATATATAATGTTGTTTTAAATAATGAGATACACATTTTAGATTTCACAAATGTAAATCTACAGATATTTTTCTTTTTTTCTTTTTTTAATTTCATTCGAATATATTTTTTTCATATTCAAATAACTTTCCTCACGTTTGTTGTTCCAACGCTTCTAATAATTGTACCTAATATAAACTTCGGCTTATCGGATACCTGATTCAATAATAAAATTAAAAATAAAGTAGTTTTTCAATCACCTGGTATAATTTTATAAATGTAAAATTTTAGTAGCACAATATTACTAAATACCAAAAAAGGCTTATTGTAGCCCAATTCCCAAGTGCCCTAATAAAGATCGTATATTGACTGATAGTGCTCATTAAACTTTTAGGGCTCTATGCGCCAAGGCCCCAATCAACACTAATTTTGCCACTTATAATCACATAATATTTATTAATCATACTACAGTTACCAACATTGAGCAAGAATCATCATCTTTTCTGTCACACAAAATGCCTGATCCTGAAATAAGGAATTATTATGCATTAAATATGTATACTATGTTTTGTGAATGAAAAATATTATTTATTGTCTTAATCAGCATTTTCAGTTTAAATTCAATAGCATAATACAATCTTATGTATATTATTCATTCATATATATACAGTTTCATAAATTAAGTTAATAATAATTAAGTACCTAGTGAGTTGTGGCTGAGGCCTGAGAGGAACAAAAGTTATGACCACCCAATAAAATGTAAAAAGAAAACCACTCATTCGCTCACAATCATCTAGGTTCTTCCAATTTTTGCCACAATTCAACCGATATCTTATATTCTTATAATCTTATGTATATTCCATCATAAGAACAAATTCAGTTATAACGACTCTGTTTGTAGTTATCGCCGAATATTAATAGGAGTGGCTGTTTTATTTCAGAATTTTTATTTTGTCAGATGATATACATCATCGAATGGTGTTTGAACTTATTAACTATAAATAGGTGTTAATTTGTAATTTGACAATTATTTCCCAGTACTTATAGATAGGTACAATTTTATTATATTTCTTAACACGTTCAACGCAGCCTGTAATTTCAGGAACAACGGAAATAACAAAAACTAAAACCACCTATACCTTAAATTTTAAAAATTAGAGTTCATTTTCAATGGCCTATCTAAGTTTTAGAGTTTATTAAAAAAAAAAAAAAAACGATTTAATTATAGCGTATATAAACGTATACGTTTCGTCACCTACCCGTTTTAATAAATGCTGTTGACGCTTATAAAATAGATAGATCATAGTACATAGATCATAGTAACGTTTCTCACCAAACAACCAGTCTATCCTGTTGCTTTTCAAACATATATATAAGAAAAGACCCAACATGACGCCCCTCACACATATTTAGGATGTCACTGAATCTTATGAGTATTTGATATATATAATTTTTGGTTTTAGATAAACACTCAGTTGTGTTCAATCAAAATATGTATACCATAGATATCCCTAATTTAATATACTAACTAAAAACAGAAAATGTCATCATTGGGGGTAGCTTTTTTCTTTACATAATATGTTATAAATTATATTATACTAAATGTCTAAATACTTTGATGTGCCTACATTTTTTTCAAATATCAGATTACAGTTAGTAGGTACTGATTAGTAATCATTCCAATATCATACGAGATGATTGTATGTAATACTTTTTAAAACAAAAACGCTGTAGTTATAATGAAATTATATAAAACAATAAAACATTATCTTTGGAGTTTAATTGTTACACCGTTACAAAATGTTTTCTTTGAATATGCACACTTCCACACACACACACACACACACACACACACACTTATTATAATATACTATTATAAATTAAAAATCAAAAATTAAATCCAACAAAAATAAAAAATAGTATTTCTATATATAACAAGTTATATCCGTATAATTATATGAGAGATTATTTTTTACTATAAATATTGTAACGAAGCTCTTCAATATAGATGTATTGTACCCTGAAAATGTAGGTAGAGGTAAAACTGTAATTTTCACGTAAAATCACTTTTCGACGAGATTGATTTTGGTGTTTGCTCTTAAATATTACAGTAGACACATGCAATTTTCACAGAAGGTTAATTGAAAATGAAAAAAATTAAAACTTGAAAGTAAATCTTCGATAGTTTTTTATGAGGCTGTTAAGTTCGAATTTTGACAACATTTTGACAACATTTTCAAATTATTTAGAGTTGTAAATTCAAAAAAATAATAAAAATAATATTGATATATGATATGATATTATAATTTATTTATATTACGTACCTAAAGATAAACATGAATATATTAACCAGGAATACGTCACCTTCATGGCCAATGATGAGCGGAGTTTAAATCGAATATATTTAAAAATGTAAATTGTACCTATATGTTCACACAAACGTAATATCAAATGAACTTCACTATACACTAAATAATATTTTACACAAATTAACAAATTTAGATAATATAGTAAAATATATTATTTTTATATACTAATAATTAATACAAGACAACATCTGTAAATAATTAATTAATTTTTAACATTATAAGATAACAATAAGTAAGAGATGATTACACCAATAGGACTTTATAACGTAAGTCACATAATGTCGGGTATTCTATACTACTAACTCCCAGTGTATGTCGTCGGTGTTGATGTAATGTACCTACCTTCTACTAGCAGATAAAAACACACGATGGACTGAAGGACAAACTACGTAGATAGGTGGTAATGCAAAAACTAGTAAATTATAAACTTGTTTTAAAATTAATTATATTATGCTGATCCTACTACTATACGTCAAATACAACTTCGGTTACTCGACGTACCTATACTAAATACGACTGCGACTGGTATTCAGATTATGGTGGTACATAATACAATATAAACATAAGCACATTATAAAATTTTGTTTTTGTTTAAATTCAACTGTATAGCAATAATGTTGTATTGTTTTTTATGATAATATGATAAGTATATTATACTACGATCTATAGAACATTGAATTATTCGACAGTCAGTTAGTAGGTATCCAGAAACGGCAAACAATTCAAATTTAAGTTAGTGTAATGTAAAATGAAAAAAATTAAATTATACAAAATTATTTGCTTTAAATTTAAATTTAACAAGTTTTTAAATAATAATATTCAGGGATGGGCATGCACAAATCGAATGTGTAAATTGTATTTTTAATTAAATGAAAATATTGAAATTTTTTTAGTGTTTTAATTTACACCCATGAAATAGATGAAGTAAATATTTTAATTCAACAAAAAGTAAGCAATAAATTAAAACGTATAGCTCTGGATTATCCGTAAATGTAAAATTTTACACCGAGAATTACGTGAAGAAGATATTAATATCTTGACTACTAAACATGAGCATAAGAAAAAATATTCACTATGCACGTTTATATATGATTCCAAAATTGCCTATAAATTTAGATGAACTTCATTTGGCTTTAACAAATTTAGGTGAGATTAAAACAAATTGAGATGAAATATTTTTACTTATAAGTTATAAATAATTCTATATATAATTTTATCAATTATTCATTATTCAAAGAGCTAAAATGCAAATTATACACCTCTAATATTTTTTTATTAACATCTATAACTACAGAAATATATAAAAATTAAAAATGTATTCTCCGATTTATTAGATAAAACGATTGAATTAAATTTGACTTTTACACCACGTAAGGCTGTCGTTTTCACTTTTTTTTTTTTTCCGTTTGAACCGACAGCAAAGGAGGATCTGTGTGAACACTACTAAACACGTAAGGCTGTCGTTTTCACTTAGGTCGGGCAATGTGGAGAAAAATTCAATCAATAGGGCTAAGTAAAAATGTTAAGAAGAAAGCAGTTTAATATTTTCTTCGAACTTGTAGTCTTTTATTATTCATATTAATTATGTCGTGTCACTCTGTACGACAGCTGTTCCCTGAGACATCCCGCGAGAAGTGCCTCGCTCGGCCCGTGGCCTCCGGTCAAGCTCCAGAGACGAGAATCTTTGTCTTTTCCGTACGCTCGAGTCGAGCAGACTGTTGTGCGTAGTGTCGTGCCGTTTGTTTCCGTTGCGACCACCTCGTGGCACTTCATTTTTTCGCACAATTATTGTTTAAGTGCCTTAATTACGGTGTGTCAGTCGACCTCTGATTCTTATTATTATCGTTGTCGACGTCGCACCGACCATCGTCGAGTTGCTACCATTTGCGTCGACCATTATTGAGTTTTACGTGTTCGCCGTAGATATCGGGGCCTGTATCAAGTCGTTAGCTCATTTCGTCCGTTTTATCAACGGTTTCCAACGTGCCCGGTGTTTCCGAATTGCGGACAAAGTGACAAAAACCATGTGAGTTGCGGACGAAATCTAAAAAGGTAACATACGAATTGCGGACACAAATATAAGATACTAATTGCGGATAATGTTACAATATTCACGTGGTGAAATCAGTAGAATTTATATATCATATATACAGGCTGTTTTAAAAACTATGACGATAATTAATAATGACGATAATCTATAAATATTTTATAAACAATTTTTTCCACAAAATTAAAACAATCTATAATTCAACAACATTTCAAAAATAACGATTGCTCTTTTGCAAGACACAAATATTTTTAACCCCACCTAACAATTTTTTTTTTAGCTATTGTCATAAGTTCTGAAAAAGTGGTGAAGGGAAATATTTGTGTCCACAACTAACGTAGTTTTTATTAAAAAAAGCTCTGTACGCAATTAGTATTATGACAACGAAGCTCGTGTCCGCAATTGTTATATTATAATTCCTAACCTGAATAATTCGTCCGCAACTAGTATGTGTCCAACGTGCCACAGGGCGTGACAGACGTAAAAGGTGCGTATTTCGGCGCCCACCAGCCGAGTTGGTTTTGTACTTGGTGTCCCTTACGAGGGGGCCTTCACCTACTTATCACGTAATCCAATCCACCGTCACCGTTCAGAGCAGCCGTCACCATTCGCCTTCGCCTTCGACGTCGTCGCAACAGCTGCAATCATGGACGCCGCCGATACCTCGTCTATTGGTGATCAAAATTGGTCTTGGTCTTGGGGTGTCGCAAGGCTCTTGCTGCAAGACTAAGACCAAGACCAAGACCAGGACCTAGATTAGGCTTGTAAGAACAAGACCAAACCAATACCGAAGCTACAAGACCAAGACCAAAACAAGCTTGTTTGATAGCTAGCCCATCACTGCATTTTTTTTCCCCGAAAACACATTAGTTTATCTAGATTTCATTAAATAATAAATTATAATGAAAATAATAAGAAATTATTTGTAGGTACCTATTGTTATTAAATTTGATCAGTATTCGAAGAAATGGCGAATTATTGAAAAAAGATTAGAAATAATTAGAATTAATATAACAAAATAACATGTTTCATACTAATTATCAATTACTGAAAAATGATTTTGCTTTCCCAAAATCGACATGATGGTCTATTGTCAATAAGAAACTTAAACATTTATTACTTGATACATTGATTACATTAACTGGACACTGGTGAATGAAAGAAGAATAATAGTTTAATTATACATAATAAATATTATCATAATAACAAATATAATTATTAAGCAATTTAATATTTGGAACAAACCAAACCGTTTTTTTTTAATATTATTATTTGTTAAAGTGAACATTAACTCCGCAGTGATCTCCAATTTGTGTACCTATCTATTAAAAACATTTAAATAATCTAATTTGTAACAATTAAAATAAATGACCAATGACTGTTATTTGTATGTTTAATCCCAACGTTTATTAAACTTTTGATAAATGTTTTGTTGTATCAATCTAAAATGATATTATTTATTTCCCAATACCTACAATTTGTTTTAGGTACCTACGTATTATTTAGGTACCTATGTATTTATTGTATTTATATCCCACGGCGCAATAGATAGACTAATTACACCAGTGGTTTGGATTATTTGATCAGTATCTCATTGTATGTATTAGCATTGCAAAATAAAATAATAATATGATTAGAAAAGAGTTGCATAAAGATGTTTTTGATCCTGCATGGAGTCACCAGTAAAAAATTAAGATCCCAGGGATTTACTTCTACTTAAGTTCAGTCGTACGTAAACTGCACAGCATTTCTTAACACTATTATTTGATTGTTTTGAATATTTTGATCATATATTATAAAGTACGAGTCTAAAATTATATCAAATAATTACAACTATTTTATTTACCATGTAATAAAATACCTTTGAAATCTCTGTGGTAAATTTTCATGAAATATTACATTTAATCATCAACGTTTGGATCCACAGCGTATAGGTCTGTACAATTTGAATACTTTTAATTTGCCATACGAACCCTAAACTGTATACTATGGCGCGCCCATTGGAAAAAAACTGTCCCATCCTAGTAGGCTGCCATTTTGATTCTTCTCGTAGAATAAATAATAAAAATTATCTGCTAAATATGCGATACACCGGTATATTTTATTTATTTATTTATTTTTTATTTTTATTTATTCTTCAAGAAGATAATGGACCTTACTGAACATGTTCGTACTCCGTTATTTCGTAGAACACAAGATAATAAAATAATTCTATCAATGACAAATCATAGATAAGAACACTAACAGAATAAAAATGGCGGCCCTTGATATAGTTACACTTTTCAAGACATGAATTATATACAATGAGCCTTCCATGTATAGAGTACAGTGGATACGAATGATATAAAATCATTGTATTCGAAAATAGATTCTGAGCGAACAGTGAACACGAAGTACGAACCGTCTATATGAGAGTTTATTAATTTATGACATAGTTGTCATAGTTTCAATTAAAGAAATGTATTTTCCTATTAATAATACAATAAGTTGAATCAGCAACAATTTAAAAAAAAAATTTTCTTATGCTTATTATAATAGCTCAAAAATTTCAAAACATTTTGAAAATTATAAAATGTGTACTGAAAATATTAATACAAACACTCAATAAAAATTGCATGTATCTACAGTATTGAGTTATCAAAAAAATGTATTTAATTAAACACTGTTTTTGCTTACAAAATCACACTTTCCTTAAACTATTAAGAATTTTCAATTTTGATCGCTTAAAAGTATTAACTAGATTCGCTTGTCCACATATTATAAGATATTGAACTCGAAAAACAAAGTAGGTATTATATCTATTAGAAAAACTGTTAAAAAAAATACCATAAAATAATAAAACAGATTTTTTATGTGGTCTGTTTCAACATTTATTGTTAACCTATAATATTAAAAAATATATATGCTTCCTCAAATATTAAGTTTTGAAGCAGAAGTTGTCATCAAAAAATCTA